AACTCCGGTGTAGTTTTGGGGTGACGAAGTTTTTTACAGCAATCCTCTCCTTTCCAGAGCCATCAAAGACAAATTGAATGCCCGGAATTGGTGCCCGGATTTTCGGAGGGCGGAAAATTCACAGTAGCAATGTCGCACTTGTGGCATGTAAAAGAACCCTGGCGGTATGCCCATGAAAATTAAATCCTTCCGACAACATCCCGCCCAAAAGAGATCTCTTTCTCGCTACCAGACAGTTCGGATATATAGCTAACTGAAACAGACATATGACGGGGAAAGTGAGAGTCCAATTCCACGCACATTTAAGAGACCGACCGCCCGCGAGGTGCGCCTACTCGATAAAGGTCTTCAGACCTGCCTCGGAGGTAGGCGTCCAAGGAAGCCTGGGTCGAAAAAAGTCGGATGCGAAGATAGCGACCACTCTCTGCCCTTAGTGCACTATAATGAAAAAATGTTTTCTTGGTGTTCTAAAAACTTTCTACAACACTTAATTCTATTTTTATGAGTCCATATTTTCGTATAGTTCATATTCACTTTCTTTTCGACCCGCAAACGTAAATTCGTAATACACTCCTGAGATACAGCGAATCCTTTGAGAACTATTACTCTGGAGCAGTGATGTCATGTTTATTTTCTAATTGCAGTTGCAGGGTTTGTGTCACAGAGACAAACGACCAGGTTATCAACGCAACTAGTGTCGTGAAAGGAAACCATCGGAGCACACTCCATTTTCCTACAACAATGGGGCTCCAGAACCACACAGCAGCCTGCTCGTCAGTGCACATGAATTATTTTATTCTTAAAAGAACTAGAATATGTCCAAAATATAAAGTAAAAATATTATTAAACCTAACAACAGCAACGCGTTTTCATTGGTTTTAACCACTTTGATTATGTAATCTCGTTTCGAAATTGATATCAGTTTCATTATAGGAAGTACTATATTACAAGTGTTATAATGATCGATTTTTTATTAACTACCAACATCAGTTTGTCATATTTCATGGAACGAACAGTCAAATATTACCCCGAGGTGACGAAAGGCATGGGATACTTCCTAATATTGTGTCGGACTTTCTTTTGCACGACGTTCAGACACTGCAAGTGGCATGAAAAAATCAATAAGTCGTTGTAAGTCTCCTGCGACTATACTACCTCTTTTTCCGTCCGAAATTGCGAAAGTATTGCAGCTGCAGAATTTTGTGCACTAACTGACCCTTTCGATTATGCCCCATACATGTTCGATGGGCGATCTAGGTGGCCAAATCATTCGCTCGAATTGTCCAGAATGTTCGTCAAACCGATCACGAACAATTGTGGCCTGATGGTATGGTGTATTGTCAACCATAAAAATTCCGTCGTTCTTTCGAAAAGTCATTGAATGGCTGAAAACATAACCATTCCCAATGATCGGTTAAATTTAACCAGAGGACCCAGTCCATTCCATATAAAAACAGCCTCCACCATTAGGAGCCTCCCCCAGCTTGACCTGTGCTTTTTTAGCAGCATGGATTCGTGGGATCTGAGCCCCTATCGAAACCTACCAACTGAAATCGCCCCTACTCTTACCAACTGAAATCGGGGCTCATCTGAGCAAGTTACTGTTTTCTAGTCGCCTAGGGTTCAATTAATATGGTCACGAGCCCTCTGCTCTCTGTGCTGCAAGCAATGCCATGCTGTTAGCAAATCCATTCCAATAGATCATCTGCTACCATAGTCCATTAAAGCAAAATTTCCCCTCACTGTCCTATCGAACACGTTTGTCATTCATCCTACTGATTCTTTGGTTATTTCACGCAGTGTTGCTTACCTGTTAGCAGTAAAATTCTGTGCATACGCCGCTCTCAGTTCTTAAGTGAAGGCCGTCGGCCCCTGGTCACGGCCGTCGGATACTGCGCGGTCTATAGTGAGAGATGATGCCTAAAACTAGGTATTTTCGGCAAACTCTTGACACAGAAGATCTCGTAATACTGACTTTTCTAACGATTACCGTAAATGGAAAGAGGCATGCGACTAATTTCAAATACCATTCCCTATTCAAAGTCTGTTAACTGCCGTCGTGCGCCAATTAATCACGTCATAAATCTTTTCACATGAATCACTTGAGTACAAATGAAATTTTTGCCAATGCACTGTTCTTATGTCTTGTACGTGATGTCATGTCGTGTACGTACTACTGCCATCTGAATATTTGCATAATGCTATCCCATGACGTTTGTCACCACAGTGTATATATTTTTAAAAAATTATAGATCTTCAAAAGTTCTGCAAATTTGGTAAAATATTATGCGATATCCGTATCGTAACATTAATTTACAATAATCAATTAGTTATCAAACTAAGTCCGACGGTCTCGTTAATAATTCCCCAACATCTTATTGTAATAAAACTGTCGTATCCTCTCTCTTGTCACGAAATCATCAATGTCGTAATGGGGAGATTCCATTGTGCCACGCGTGGCGCCGAGTGGCAGCAACTGTGACATCGCCGATCGAGAGCTTAGAAGATGCAAGGCTGTGGAAGGCGCCTACCTGCGAGACGGGGTGCGGGTGGCCGGGGAGTCCGTTGTGGGCGGCGGCAGCGGCAGCGGCGCCGGGCCGGCGGAAGCCCGGGGGGGGCCCGGGCCCGGGGGGGGCCCCGGGGCCGTTGGGGGCGGCCGCCTGGCGTTTGGCGAGCGCCAGCCCCGACGGCGACACCGCCAAGTGCGGAACACAGCCGCTCCTCGTAGTCGTACTCGCACAGGATCTTTGTTGTCGCACAGGTAGAAGCGGTTCGCCCACGCAGAACCTGCCGGCAAGGAATGCTCGATTCGTACATGAACGCACGACGGCGACACAGCCAAGTGCGCGAACACCAGCCGCTCCTCGTAGTGTACTCGCACAGGATCTTGTTGTCGCACAGGTAGTAACAGTCTTCCTCACAGAACCTGTCGGAAAAGAATACTCGATTCGCACTTGCAAAGCCTCGCCCAGACTGACAAAAGGAGGGCTACAGCGCATTGACGTTTGCGCAGATTGGAATCTCAAAATCTACGACATCGACGCAGTGCATTCACACAGTCAGAAGCGATTCTTAATGCAGAATCTGCGACAGCCTCACAACGTGCACACGGTCACCCACGCAGGCTTCAACAAAATTGAAAGGTATTCGCTTGCTTCACTGATTATTTCGCGATTTTGATCATATCAACTGATGTGGTCATTATTCCTGTAAATATTTCAACTGATGTGGTCATTATTCCTGTTACATGTTTTATTACGTTGTGGTTGTTCTCTCCCTAGCTGGACAGATCTGTCACCGACCTGTACGCCGGCTTGCGAGGGTTTCCTTATCTAAGTATCTTTCACCAGGGGGGAACCATTTCACACCGGATAAACGATTCCCACTGGTCCCCCGATATGTGTGGTAGCATAATGCAAGTCAGTGTAAGTTTGTGTAAGAAATGAGAGACGGCAAAAGAGATATGGCAATGAAGAAGCAGGAAAGATTTCTCGCGGTCCGTTTGTTAGAGTACTGCTCCGGCATTCGTCTGGTCTTGATCGGAGAAACCACTGAAACCTATAGATCACCGAACGGCCGCAAGGGTTTTCATTCAGACTGATGTTGATCTCGACCCAGTGCCTAGCTAGTGTCGAAAATTCTGCCGTCGCCGGGACTCGAATCGTAAAACCTCATGGTCAGAAGGCTCTGCAATGACATTTGATGTCCTGAGCCACTTCAGCCGCTGATAGGCATCTGCGTTTGCGCGAGGTCGCCAATCTACAACCGACGTAAACGTTCACAAAGAGTTCGTACTTGGTCTAAGTCGCGCAAGCAGACTACATGAATACAACGCAGTCTCACTTGCACTAGTAGATGCAGTCACTCACGCACAACTAAGGAACTATGATTTTGTCGCTATGAAATTGCACTAGCACGCGTTCATCCAGGGATCCAGGGCATTCAACTGAATTACCACGCATTGTATTCGTTATTGTATTGGCAGAAATAGTGAGTCAAACCAAAGCTGCAACCGATTCACAACGAATTCGCCTTTGCGAGCCGTCATCCAAGCAGACTAAAACAGGATTACAAAGCCTTGGCACGTGAAGAGGGTGTCAGTCGCTCACACACAACCGAACACAGAATCATTTGTTGCTAGCAACGGTGGCTGAGGCAGAACCTGCAACAGTATCGCAATGACTGCGTACTCGCGAGTAGACATCCAGGCAGATTGTATACATTACAACAAATCTGGTTACTTTTACTGGTACAAGGGGTAGCGCAGAACATACCATCGAATTGGTACTATGCGCTATCGCAGATTACAAAAGTATTACTGATTCACACTTGCATTAGAAAACGTTGTCATCAATATGGTCCTTTCACTTAAATTAATCTAATATTCTATTCCTCGCACCGCTAGGTACGTACATCTTTTTTTATTGTTCTTTATTATTTATTAATTGTTTATTTCTTTTAGAAAATTTATATTTTGTCATGGGTTACGAGCCAATCCTCACGGGAACCGGTTTTCCTAAATTATTATCAGATTACATGGAATTTATTTGAGGAACATAGGGAGAACTCCAATACAAACTCACAGTTTTCATTCCGAATGTATCTATTTCATTCGCGATCTATTCCAACCTTCAGGTTTTGCAAAACGTTTCAAACACGCTCTTCATATACAGATGTAAATCCTTTTGAAAAGCACAACAATGGTACTCCTTTTAAAACTACAACTAATATTTATATATTTCCAGAAACAAAGGAATCAAAAATAATTTATATTGTGTGTACAACCACTCTGATTCTACGAGCTTTTGACAATCACTTTTTTGTTAATAAAGAGCCGGGGAAGTCTTTCAGTTGACTGGACAAGCGCAGTGATCAGTGGTATCTACGGAAGGAAGGCGTTATGTGCGCCGACAGTGTCCTCCTTCGGACTAATTTTAGCACATTTTCCTTGATTTCCTTAAAATAATCTTTGTACACAATCAATCGTCAGCAATCTATCCTTAAGCATTGTCTTTTATTCGTAAACTTCCGTAGAATTCATGAACCCTCTTGTCCTCAGCTTCGTTTTCCACGGCTACGGATGCTGACAGATGCGCCATCGTGACGTTCTGAGACTTAAAGACATGCTCGCCGCCTGTAATTTCTGGAATGACAACTTGGGGCCCGCAAATACCGCCTTCTGAAGGGCGCTGCCCAGCAGAACGCAGCTTATGAGAAAGACTTTTGTTTTCGTTGACCACGGAGCAGAAGCTGAGCCGAAGTACACTACTTCAGCACTATCTATTGATCGATTTATAAACTTAAACTACTTATTACTCTGCCTAAGAGATAGTAATGGAAATACATCAGATTCACTTCAATACTTTTTTATGATTTTACAAATTAAGGTTACTGTTTCACCAATATCATTTGAAATATTTAGAATTTTGAATTTTGATATCCATTTAGCTAAATTATCAACAAATTTAAATGTTTACCTTTCAGTGAATTTTCGAAACATGTTCATATTTTAAGACATTGAACAAATGTTATAGTATTTTGGGGGGATTTTTAAGTAATATAGTAAAAACAATAGTAACAAACATTACTGTTCATACTATCTTAAAAACGGTGCATCAGATGTCTTAAAAACCTTATTTTTCCAGCTAGTTTCCAACCCTAGCATTCACCATTTCATTGAAGTCACCCAAACAGCAACCCTAACTGCTCTTATTTCGGTCGATATAATGATTAAATGACGAAAAGTTAATATTCTTGAATATAATAAAAATATCTTACAAGTAATTATGAATATTTTTTGACATATTATGCCACAGGTTCTTTAAGAAGTATTAAAATACAAAAAGCTGTTCTTGTTCTGAGAACATAGCCAAGACAAGGTGAATGGAAATTGAGTACTTGACATCTCTGATTTACGACTTCGTGGGAGTAAATTGTAATGTGGATAGTAATGATACGAAGGAGATCAATTGAGATAATATTTTGTTGTATTTAACAATCAAAGGACAATAACACAACCTAGTGTCGGTTCGATCTTTTGATTACTGTCGGATGACCGTGCCATTTTAGACATCACAATTTGACACACTACATCACAATTTGACCGACGTTTTCACGTCATCTTGATCATCGACATCATCTTCAGTATCATATTTTCAGGATGTCCGGTTCCAGCCTCAATCAATCTCGTACTCTGCCTTTTAATCTAATCTGTGGCTCATTATTAATCGACTAGCACCTCTGGACGGGGAAACGAAGTAAGAAGCACTGATACGTCCGCAAAGAAGTAAGAAGCGCGAATCTGTGAGAAACACGGATACGATCAAGCACAACTGCCGCTCTCAACAAATCTCATTGAGATGTTGAAAATTCGTCCTTGTCGAGGTTTGATCCTAGATCCCCGCGGCTGACAATGCTTATTTTCAGACTTCAAATTATGCATGCTAACACATCCGATAGAATCACTCTTTCGTTTTACCGGCTTAGATGGATCAGGGCATCAAATGATGTCACTGCAGGGCCTCCGACTGAAAAGACGTAGGATTCGAGACCCGACTGTGGCAGGATTTTCGACACTGGCTACATAGCTAGGTCGAATTCAGTCGCTGACTGGAGGAGGAGAATTCTACCGACCGACTGCACTGATTGGTAGTTTCCCATGATTTCTTCGATCAACACAGGGCAAATGCCGGAGCAGTACCCTGACAAACGGTCCACGGACCGTGTGCGATCTTTTCTTCCTCTTCCTCTTCCTCGACCTCTCACCACCCCTTACTTACACAAACACACTCATCTGTACTACACAACACACTCGTCAGGTGACCAGTCGAGACCTTGGAGCTTATCCCCGCTGGGGCAGTGCCACGGTAGGGGTACACGCTAGCTAGTCACCTGGTTGGGGAAAATCCTCGCAAGGCGACATAGGTTCACGCTAGATCACTGCAGCCAGCGGGGGAAGTTTGCGACCTCGCACGATTAACTTGCATTTTATTAACGGGATTAATAACTTTAGCAGTTGACGTCACCGGAATCATTAATCAATCAATCAACTTTCGTTTTATATAAATCGTGTGTTTACCTACCACTGTAAACAAAATTAGCGCCCCAAGCATTGATGGAAAAACCCCAACCCTCTAATAGCTTTTTGCCTTAATAACGATATTCCCAATCACCGTGGAAGGAAGTGGCTATTCCAATTTAGTGCCTGAAGTATTAGCACATGGGTGTGGGTAGGGATTATATGCGAGAATACGATACTGGACATGCACACAATGGTTGTTAATTTGTCCTCTTGCATGTACAAGTCCGGAAGACTTCGCCACCGCTCTAATTAGCGTCGATTTAATTCCATTATTTATTAATTCCCGCTTATCTTGGAGTGAAACAATATTAGCTTTCGATTCTCCCGTTGTATTGGCGGAATTAATTAGTGTAAATGCAGTCTAATTAACTTGCCTATTGCTCCTCCGTTGGTGAGAGTACATATTTGTTCCCAACGCAGAGGGAAGCACCCCTGCTGAAAATAACGATTTGGTTTTGCTGTCTCGTTGGGCAGTTTATGACTGAATGCTATTGTCGTACACTTGTATGAAGTGTTTCGAGGAATGTATATTGAATTTTGTAACAACCTCTTATAAATGAAATAATTTAATCATTTACTAATGAGTCAGCAAAGATACATACAATATTTACAAACCACTGAGTTTTGTTCACTGATCTATCAAAAAAGAGAGGAAATATGGATGTATTTTGGGTGGTATGATTGTATTTTATGTTCCTATGACGACCTATGAATATGTCGAGAGTATGTTCCATGAGTGTGAATGGTCTACCTAAAATATATAGAAAGAAACACCTGGGAATGTTAAAGAACAATATAATAAAGGAAAATAAATAGTAGAACGTCTGTGTACAAACATTAACTTCATATAGATTTGATAAACTTGATACAGATTTGTGATAATATTATGTAATTTTCATCAAAAATACAAAGTTATACAAACGACCATGCAATAAATGACAAAGAAGATATTTGTTTGTTTAAACAAATGAATGCGCAATACAATTATTACTATTTCACTCGTGAAATTAAAACCAATAGTTTTTTTACAATACGTACATAATGCCCCAATCAGGGCGGTGTATTTCAAACAGTATCGCTTTTTCTCTCCAATTTTTCTCACCTGTTCTCTCTACTGGCCAATCATAAACTGTGACTCATCTACCTTAGGAGGCGATACACATCGATGGCTCTGTCGATGTCTAATAAACCGCGTATGTATGATAGCATAAATCCTTTGATTTTAACTATTTTCAATATTTGGCGCATTTTGGAACTCTGTCGGAGATAATTTCATTCATGGAATAATCATATTAAATACCACTCGTGTTTGGAAATTCTCAGATAAATCTCCTCCTCACCCCGTGAATCGGGAATTTATGGACAATTTCCAAAGCACTCGGGGTGTTACCTATAAGAATATCATCAGTCTCATTGATATTCAATGTTGTGCATAGCCACGTACCTAAAATACATTTTGTTTCGAAAACACTGAGTTTTTGGAAGTTAGTTGAGCAAACGCAGTAGGGGTAAATTCGTGGCCGTAATCAGAGACGCAAAGAATAACTCGTTAACTAAATTAACGGAATTGCGGGAGAATAAAATATCCAGAGTACATTAAAAACTAATTGTGCAAAAACAGCACGCAATTCCTCGCCTCACGCGCAAAATTACGCGAAAAGTACTCAAATTTTCGAAAAATTGTATATGAACGTATTTCAAAATCTACTTTCAAGGAAAATATTTCTGTAAAGGAAAGATCTCTACCTTCATAATTGTAGTTGGAGGAAAACGCCGAAGAAATTTTGAATTGTTGTAATTTTCAAAGTTTTTAATGAAAATTAAACCTACATCATTCTCTTAAAAGTCCTTTACACTATTCAATAACAAATTTTATCAGAATAGATGAAGCCATTTTTTTAAAATATGGAAATATCCCATGGATGTCATGTAAAGTACCCCCCCCCCAAAAAAAAAAATTAACATATGGGCTCCAAAATCAACCGGGGGCCGCGACACTAGCCAGGTGATTGAGATAAATCAATTTTGGAGAAAATTGGCTAAACTTTTAGCCGCTAGCGTATTTCACAGACGGATGGACAGCCGGCCGGCCGGCCGGCCGGACAGAAACTTTTACCGTCATTCAATTTTTCGGTGTACCCAGAAAACGGATTCTGGCTACACGTGTTGGAGGTTTTTTCTGAATTTAACAACTAGATTTACCCATGTTTTCGTTATAAGGGCCCTGTAATAAGAGATTTTCTGCCGAATATTCGCCGTTTTTTCGCGCATCAACACATGTTTCTCTCGTAAGAGGTGAGGAGAAAGTAAAAATATTCACACAAATATTTAATTTAAGGCTCACTTGATTGGGGATTTTTTCAAAATAAGTATAAGTACGAACGAGATATTATTTACAATTTTTAATGGTCATGTAAGTTGTTATTGTTTCAACAATAAATAACATATAGCCAGCAAAGTATTCCGTCACAACATTAGTCCAACTTAATGACCGTGACAGTGCGATTAAACCAATGATTAATAACGTTGTTGAGAAAAAGTTGCATTGTGAGTTTGTTAACCGTTCATGAATTATGGAGGATACTCATAGTTGGTGAGATCACCAAAAGTTATACTCGTACTTGGAAGTAAGCTTAGAAGAGGTTTTAAGTATGTTACATAACTCATTTTCCGGTATTTAGCTACTCTTTACCTTTAGGCAGATTTCAAGAAATAACCATCTTCAAAACTGTCACAACCAAGGAAACAAATACTCACCAAAAACGCAATTCGCATTGTCTTAAAAAAGAGCTATCATAAATTGTTTCAAGATGTTCATGTTTCCTATTCTAAATTAAATGATAAGCGATACAACGTAGCAGATGTTAGTCATGTGATAAAATAAATGACGAGAAATGTTACAAATTTACTAAAAGGAGGATATTTAAAATACATAGGACGAGAGTACAATTGACATCAATGGAGGACTGTCCTCCCAAATGGAGGACGCTTGGCAACCACTCTTCGACCCAAATCCGCTCGCTCTCCCATCCTCAGAGCCAAGCAACGAGCTCACCCGTAATTCCCAAGAATCTAATTCCAAAGTATGCCATGAAGAAGGTTGCAAGGGAGACTGCAAACGCGAGAATTTGGACCTAGGGCTGAGGATCAAAATGGACAGTAGAGCCGAATGATAAGGATTTTGATGGTGATAATGATGAAAAAGAAATAAATAAGTGCCGAAGACAATGCATTTGCCAGCGCATATATTTGCCAATAAAGATACTTACTTAATAGATCTCTATTATTTTAACGTTGAGATTCTTCTCAAGTTCGAAAACTCTTCACAATTATCAAACGTCGGAGCGATTGACGCCAACTTACAAGAAAATATTTGGACGGCAATAGTGATATCCACGAGAAAATATGTATCCAAAATATGAATACGTGCGTTGTGAAAACTACACGACGAAAATAACAATGGGCATTCCCACGAGGATTTGTGACATCGTTTAATTAGATTGAAGTTGCTTCTAATAATTCAACGAAGAGTCTAGCAATTTCATTGTTGCCTATGGTGACAGTAGACAGATGGTGACAGTGATGGTGACACCTTGCACCAAGGTGGCATTCCACCTGCTAATCAGATCTACTGGTGTACTGAAATAAAATGATCAGTATGCGCTCTGTTTACCGGTAGAAGTTGATTTGTCGAACCTTCTGCAGCATGTTCGTAAGGGTATTAATTTATGTTATATACTACAAATAAGAGGTTATGTACAAAAATGGGCACTGATTGAACTTCTCCACGCTAGTTTCCAACAATATTTACTGTTTTTTGATAAGTAAATAATATCAAATACGAAACAAAAGTAAAACTATATTAATCTTTCAACATAATAGCAACAAACGTAATATAATTGATTTTCATAACATCCACCTAATAACTTCTCGCAAGAGTTCTTCACAGCGAGTTCTAGTAGTTCTAGAGACACTTTCACTACTGCTTTCTTGTGAAGATGTGGTCAACTGCGTGAAATGCATTATTTCATTTTATCATCTACACTACCGAATCTGAATGGAAGCAACTTTGTCGACAGCTGACAGCCGGTTACCCTTTACGTCGCGATGGGACGCATATTCGATCATACACTAGACACCAACACACTTGCGGGATCCTGTGATCTGCGGTCAGCAGAACGTGAGGCCCTCAGCGATAACACATACATGAAAGACAAAGGACAAACAACCAAGCCCAAATCGGGACTTGAACCCGCGAACCTTCGGAAACGAAGCGCTGAGCCTGTGCACGCTCTTAGCCACCTCGGGCATCCAGGTCGGCAGGGAAGCAACTTCTTTGGCATTCTGTAGTAGACAGTCTTAGAATCTGCAAGAACGCGTTCCTGCAGTCAGCTCGTGAAGCACTCATTTAAATATTAACAATTATTCTGGTGGTTGTAGAAAGAGTAAGAAAATGTTTATTTCATTTTACTAAAACTAGAAAAGGCGTACCTTGGTAATATGCAGTTAATGCTCATGAAACTTTGACAGAAAATAACTAACAAGGGATTTGAATTTGGTTCCATAGTGTCAGCTGGTAGTATATGTCAATGTATTAGCTGTAAAATTATAGAGTAAACTTCTACGATTGCACTGTTTCCTTGTCTCGCGAACAGAAACCTTGTAGTGATGTTCAACGAAAGGAAGAGCAAGTTCGCCCCGTCGCCTCAACATAAGGCCGAAGCCTCGCTCGTACGCAAAAATCCTTACTAGATTTAGTTGATTGCAAAAAAAATGCTTAGGCTTACCTGTGGTTGCACTGCTGGCAGGCGAAGCACTCGAGGTGGTAGACGTTGGAGCGCGCGCGCATCACCATCTCGAAGGCCGGGATCACCTTGGAGCAGGCGGCGCAGTGGCCCGTGTTGCCGAACAGCCTGCGCCAGAGCACACACACCGCGCTCTCAGCACACAGCACATTCCGCTCACAGGGCGTTTAGCGCACTCAAGGCTCTTAGCACACTCCAGACTCTCAGCACACTCAAGGCTCTCAGCACACTCAAGGCTCTTAGCGCACTCAAGGCTCTTAGCACACTCAAGGCTCTTAGTACACTCAGCAAAGACAGGAAGGCCAGAGCCACGCCCACCTGAGGTAGTCGCGGCGGCACAGGATGAGGTCGGCCTTGGTGTAGAGCGTGGAGCCCACCTCCCCCAGGCGGCAGTCACAGCAGCCGCACTTGAGGCAGTCCTCGTGCCAGAAGACGTCGAGCGCCTTCAGCAGGAAGCGCTCGGTGATCTTCTTGCCGCAGCCAGCGCACTCCTGCGGCGGGCCCGCGAGGCTGGCGGCGCCGCCCGGCGCCCCGCCGCCCTTGCCCGCCGACACCTCCGCTTTCCCGTCCAGCGGCATGCTGGACAGCCCTGCGCACACGGCACAGTCCTCTCTGACAACATAACTCAACGACTTCATTGCGATTCAAAAGCACGTAATGTAGCTTATCAAACCGACGGGAAAGGCCACGGAATATCATTAAGCAGTAAGCAAATGTTCAGCGGTAAAATCAGATAATCGTAATTTTTTAAATTATTTCTGACTGGTTTGTATTTAGTCAAATTCATGTTGACTTTACATGTGATTGTTTTGAAATGTGGGAGAGCTTTTTTTTTTTTTTTTTTTTGCAGTTAAGGAGGAATGACGCTTTTCTCTTCTCATATCATGGGTTCCTTCAGATCAAACGTAGCTCTTGGTCACTCTGAACAATCCTAACCTTGGAAAATTCTTGAACGAATTGAACAGGAAGAGAATTTTGTTTTTGAAAAATAAGCTTTTAGTGATTGAGGGATCCATGCCATAAGAAAAACATCAACTATCCACATAACTGATTAATTCCATGTTTCCTGTTTTATAACTCTAAATAATATTTAAATTTGACAATAAAACGTAAAAATAAAATAGTGAAGAGGCAATTTCAATTAACCTTTCTTCACTCAACATTTGAACTTTTTCCATGGTGCTGAGTCTCGGCAATTGCATTGATTATACTGGCTTACTGGCTCTATGTTCCCATCGATATGATAGAGAATATTTCTAAAGAAAGAAGCGTACAATGGGCACCACGGAAAATCTAATAGAGATGATCAAGCAACGGCTAGTGATTTGCAACTGCGATATATTTCTCTATTTCGATTGTAAATTGCTGAAATTCCTCAAATAATTGCGGAAATGCAACTCGGAAGAACAGCCGCAAATCCCGGTTTCAGCAAAAACCGGTAAACTCCTATTTCATGTATTGTATTCTATTGTTCGTCTAATTTATTTTTCGTGCATGTAAATATGTTACTACATTCGTGAAACATTACGTACACTGCTCTACTTTTGCCACTCGCTAACTCTCTACCCTCTTATACTCCCTCTCCTCTCCACTACCGGTCCATTTGGTTTCAGAATTAAAATATTTTAATTACACTATTATTGAATAGTGTAATTATTTATTGTAATTATTGAATTAAGCTTAAGATAAATTAACTAGTATATTTTACAAAAAGTTTAACAATATAAGCAGATTATTTCTGAGACATTTACACGCAAATTGTAATAACTCAATATTTCTATGATATAATCCAAAGTCACCCAATTCACTTGCACGACTCGCTTAATTAATTCTCAAAAATGTCAGCCATAAATGGCATTTTTTCACATGGCTATCAACTGTACATCGAAATTCCACTTCAAAACTTCCAAAAATATTTCCATTAAATCTTCACCCAGCAAAGCGTTATTCGCCAACACACGCGACACGAACTTCGCAGCTCCCCCGCACACATGTCACCACTCGAGCTGTACCTCACTCGCCCTTTTTTTAGCGAAACGGGCGCCCACGTTCTTTATTACCGGGTTCGAAGGGCCCCCGCCCCCTCGTCGAGGTCCCTCGGGGCGCGGACTAACCCCCCTCCTCACCCCCGCCCCCGCCCTCGCCGACGCCTCACGAGGAATGGCCTTGTAATACAGTGGAAGCGGGTAGCCGAACTCAATCGAGAAAAACAGCCCTCCAACAGCTCGGCGCGACGAATTTTTCACGGGCCGCCCCGCCCCCCTGCACTTCCCCGCGCCGCCCCGCGCCACCCCGTCCGTCCCCCGTCCCGCGCCGGCACTTTTATTAACGTCTGCTTCGAACTCGTGTTTGCTCTTTGTTTGAACTCATGGCGAACGCATTAAAACGCCCACCCAAGTTGGGCAGTTAGCGCAGCCCTGCGGGACGCCCGGGATGGATTGGCGGGCGGGGCGCGGGCGGGCGGGGCGGGGCGGGGGCGGCGGCAGGTGACCGGGAGGTCGAGGCGAGCGAGACCTGAGGGCGGTGATCGCTTGCTCCCCCAACGACCTCCTCCCCCCCCCCTCGACCACCGCTCGCGTCGCCCGCGGTGTCAATTATCGCGAATGCCGCGTCGCTGATCTGCCCTCTTGATGGCCAGTCGGCGGAGCGGTCCGGGCCGTTCAATGGAGGCGCGGATAAAATCACGGAGAAGCTACGACTTGCGGGCAGAGGTTTACATGACCGGCGTTAGAAGAGGTGTTAGCTGAAGCACGGCAGGCGGCGTGATGGATTTACAAGTTCTGTGGAAGTCATCGAAGACCATCTAATCCTACTTCCAGAAGCTTTTAAAATTGATATCGAATTTCTGGGTTATGATTCAAATGTATTTTCTTTATCTTTAGGATTGTTTATTGTCACGTTAATATAAGTTAATTGTAGTTAATTGATATTTTTTCTGGAGTTCCACCAATTTCATAAAATATTTAATTAACATTGAAAACAAAACATTGAGCCATTAAATAAATAAGAATAATAAATAACAATTGGTTTGTTATTTCTGAGGTGAAAATCGTTCGTTCTTTTCTGTTTGCTTTCTTCTCCTATTATTGTAATGACGAGCATACGTTTAACAATTTTTCATCTAAATATGAGACTGTATTACATAAAAACCTCTGCCATGAAAACAATGAAAACTGTTAACTTTTAATAATACCAAAATCAAAAAGCAAAATCTAATCATTTAAGTAGAGTTGGGCAGAAACATTACACAGCACTAGTTAAACTGAATATATTAATTGATTTTTAATCAATAAAATAAGGATTTTTTGCATTAAAAGCACTTAAAATATTCAGGAAAATCCTCACCATAAACAATAATCCCAACAAGAAAGTCAGTATTAACGGACATTTTGTCGCAATTAAAAGAGATGGTCGGCGGTGTATTCTTTACAAGTGTACTATAAAGGGGCATCACAAAACTCTATGGTATTTTAAAATAATAAATGGAGAGATAGTTTATTTTCTAAAGAATTTGATTTTAGAATAAAACTCACGACATTCAAATATGGGTTGTAATTACATTAATTTCATATAGAGTTTGTAAATTCCTAAATAATACGTACAATTTTCTCTATTATGCAGATTTACTTTTCCACTTCATATCTCGCAATAGGCAATTACTGCTTATCAGACTGACTCAATCAAAAGTTCAGTGATTCTACTAAAATATTTTAGTGAGTACGCTATATGTCTAGAAACATTAAGTGTGTTAAAGAAGTAGTTACAAAGACAGTAGCGTAAATCCTAAAAAAATATCAAATAGATAATTAAATTGTACAATAAAACAAGTAAATAAATTACGAATATCAATATTAGAATTTAGTATTTGCACTTGAATCACTATTATGTCCAAAATAATTTAGTTGACGCGAAATATGTACATGTGAATAGAAATCGCGCATGCAATTACTTTCAAAGGTCACTGAAACATTTTCTGTATCTCTATAGATTTAAACATATTTACTGTAAATTACGTCTTATAATAACTCGCACATAAAACTGATGATTAACGCAATATGCACAGTACTGTTTGAAGATATCAGGCGCAAAGATCTTATAGAGCGGACATAATCAATGGGTCAGGAATTATCATCACAGGAATTAATTGCGCCACTCTCAATAAATATGTTGGTATTTAAATTATTCTTCCTTTTGTTTCCTCGTTACAAATATACAGTTGTTTTATAACGTTACGCAATCGTGTAATTATTTCCTATGATTTATATATTCAATATCATTCACAATTTATTATTAAGTGACAGTTGTTTAGTGCTTACATGCAAACGATTCACGTACAAGTACACTAGATTTCTAGACATTGAGAATGAAGTGAAGAATACAACAGAAATCATAGAAGTACTAGCGCGCATTTGCAATGATGTGACTGAATTGTAGAAAATATCCAAATGAGGTTCAAATCATGGAATCTACTAATATTTTAAACAACGTCCTCATGTCACATAATTGCTTAAATAAATCATTTATGTATACAACTGAACATTAAAGCATTTATTCAAATCATACGCGTGCCACATGTTATTTAGTGACTTTCTCTCCAATTCTCCATATAAATGATAAATATTACTAAAACAATTTTGTCCGCATTTGCATCCACTAACGCTACGGTAATAATTGTAAATATTCAACACAAAAGCGCTGATGAAAGTATATACATGACGAATTAAGACCGAAAGGAGAACATTTATAACAAGAAATGAAATCATTATACCAATTACGACATAATACTGAAAAAACTAAATGACGTTAAACGAAGGGATAATGTTATGACATGAAAAGACGTAATATCACAGACAGACAGAGATACTTAACACAAACGTATGATTCGAAATTTTTTGTAACGCATGACAGTTGTATGAAATTTGTATGAGCAATGGCATGTTGCAAATTGAAAAAGACGCAATGTAAATTACATTAATGTGAAGTAAACTCTTGAAGTACAGTGTCTCAATACGTTACATATGTCAGATTCAACTGCCCCATTTTTACCACAATTTTCCTGATAAGGTATTTTATATCTGGAATTCCAATTGATTTAATGACAGTTTTTCGTAACGTAATAAAACCATTAAGAAGCGTCGGCTATCAAATCGTGCTCATCGCATTAATTTGCAACATTCAATGGTTTGAGTTTGTACTGAGAATACATCTTGTTCTTATCAAACAACGAGTAAAGGCGACATGTGTCTCGTAGAATTATCGCTACTGGAACGAGTTGGTTTTGATAGTCAACGTCTCATTTTAAGTTCTCATTACTTCACAGAAATCTGACAATAAATCATCCGGAATACATAAAATGTCATGATGTCAAGAACAAAAGCAAAACTGTGACAGTTGAATGGAGTGAAATACCGAGCCTCTATACTTCATGAGATTGGTTTGCATAAGTGTAATTTACATTGCGTGATTTTTAATATTTAACCCATCAATGATTCAATGACGCGCGTATTTTACGTGGCGAGACCTACACCATGAGGCCTGTTCTTCTGACTGACTATGCAAATGTCACTATCCAGCGGAAAAAGAAGACACGACTTGGGCGTCATTGTTTAAACCACATGATTGTCTAAACAAATGTTCT